GTGGCGTGTGGAAGCAAATTTTTAGAAAGCTGCAATATAATTATTTACTGTGCAGAGCGCACAGTGGCAAAGTGCGGTAGAAACCGAGCTCTGCTGGAAATGGGAGCCTGCAAGCTGGGGCTGTTTTAAAAGCTTCCTTTTATGCTGTCTGTACAGACCAAGTGTGTGGGGTGTGGGTTCTCCCTTGCCTTGCTCTCGTGCCCTCTCTTTGTGCTGTTGTGCCTCAGCAGACGGACGCCCGGGGAGCTCGCAGACCTTCCGGGGGCTCTTCGAGGAGCGAGCCAGCGACGGCTTCTTCAAGTGTCTCTCCATGTACGTATGTCCTGAGCTGGCTGTGCCACTGGGGAGGGTAAAGGCCTTTCCTCTGAGTGTGCAGCCCTCTTGGGAAGTCTCAAAGTCTGTAGGATCAGGATGCACAGCGTCACAGTTTTGTATCTGACCATTAGTGCTGCTTTGCTGTGCTGGCCCTGTGTTTTCTGCGTGCTGTCCTGCCAGCTTTGATTTTTCCTTTCCATTTCAAGTGAACAACATATTGATAATTTCCTGCACTGTTTTTTGAGTGTGTTCTGGGAACTGTTTAATCAATACTGTGTTTTGCCTGTTCATTAGCTCTGAATGTGTTTTAGGGCAAGGCATTTTGTTTTGGGATTGTGTTGTGTAGCACACTGCTATGTCTTGTTTCCAGGCTCAAAATATTCAGTATGTATTTATTAAAGCTTTTTACTTTCTCCTTAAAAGTTCACACATGAAGGATCAGTGAGTTGTCCTGCCAATGCATAACAGAAAAATCTGGTTTTAAATCTGTAAACAGGAGGATTCTTAGGGCCCCATAAGAGAATCCTGCAAGTCTTTTTGATATCAAGCAGGCATTAAAGTACCCAGGAGTCTGCAGTGGGCTATGTAGCTGGAAGGGCCAGAGACTAATGAATTGGCAGAAAAGGCAGTCAGAAATGAGCCAAACTTTTTAGAAGTCCATTGTTTTGTATTCAGTCTATGAAATCTATAAACATTCTTGTCATTTCAGAAATTCCAGTTGGATTTTAACCACTACGCTCGTCCTGTCAGTGCTGGTGCTGCTCTGGATTTGTTGTGCAACTGTAGCTACAGCTGTAGAGCAGTATGTTCCATCTGAGGTACTGCATTTCAGAGCAAAAGTACTTGGAATTTATTCATTATGTTGCTTTTCTGTTACAGCTGTCCAGAGACTAAGAAATATTTGGGGGAGGTTCAGTTAAGGAGGATTTTCTTATTTTGTGGCTGTGGATGGCAAACCAATTTTGTTTATTTAAATGATGGTTTCATAGCTGAGCATTCTTGCTCATTCCTGTGGCTCACAGGAGCTCTGAGCCTTATTCAGACACGACATCTTTTGGTTTGTAGTGCTGTACTCTCAACAACCTTCAGGGTGCTCTGAACAAATGGAGGCTGAGTCTCTTTTCTCTGGGAGTGAAGCTATTCCAAGGGGGGTGTAGGGAGGACCCAGTTTAGGTTTAATGCAGGAGGATCAGTAGTGAGAACAGAGTGACAGCACAGTTACTGGTGATATGTATGAGTGCAGAGTCTCATGGAGGAGAACAGGCACTCCCCCAGTGCCCAGAGAGTCCTGACTCAGTGATTGCACACCAAAGGAGCTGTTACACAAATGCTGTATCCACCCTTGTTCTGGCAGATTTCATACATTTCTTCTGGATGCAAGTCTAGTTCCAGCCCTGAATTTCAGATGTTACAGAAGGCCTTGTGTTGCAGGGCTGCAGCACAGAACCTGTAATGCAGCTGCATAATGAAATTCATGTTATTCACACTATGGAGAGTCTTTGTCTTAAAGTACCTTGTTTAAATGTTTCAGAAGCTGAGCATCTATGGAGATTTGGAATACATGAATGAGCAAAAACTCAACAGATACCCACCCTCTGCACTTGTTGTGGTTAGATGCAAGACTGAGGAACATGAAGAAGCAGGACCTCTTCCTACAAAAGTCAATCTGGATCAATCTGCAATTTAAATCCGTTGGATCCCATAGACTAATTCTAACAGAGCTAGAAACTCCTGATTGATTGTGGTGGTTCTTCAGATGAGAAGCTTAGCAGCCAGTCTTTAAATGCAAATAAAGTTGCAAAATCAACAAATGTCATGGGATTTTGTTTTCAGCTAGTAGAGAAGATTCAGACATTCAGACATGAATTTGTTTGTTTCCAGGTTTAATCACTTTTCACTGGTGTTTGCTATTGTGTCTTTTTGCTTACAGAAATTGTAAGCGTGCTTTCCATACTTCTGCCAGGACACTTTCAAACTTACTTGTGTGTTCTAGGATGTAATGTGTACAGTCAGAGTTAGCTTTGTAAAGGTATAAGACATTTTAAGTAGGCAGGACATGCCTTTCTAGTGTTGCACTTTCTGTTGTAGTTAAGAGAAAATATTATAAAATTATCTGCTGAATTTTTTTGTACTTGTTAATGTCCATGCACAAACAACCCTGTCTTCAAAAACAGAAATATATTTTTTCTACAGTGTGGCAATATTGAAGGTGGAAAGCATTTGTGAGGTACTGTAAGCTAGAATTCAGCTTGTGAAAGATGGAAATGTGTTAAAATTTACAGACGTATCCCTTCACATGCAGAACATTACATGGTCAGTTATTTTGTCAAACTTTAGCCTTTAAGTCTTAAATTGCTTGTAAAGTTAGCACCTGTGTTTTCTGAAAACTTCTGCTTTCTGTTCTTAATTAACTATTCTGGTCTTGTAACTTCATTTACAGAAACAAGTTGATTCCTGAGAAATGAGAGCAGACAAATAAAATTGACTGTATAGAAAATGTTGACTATATAGCTTTTTGCTATGGTTAATTATTGACCACAGCAGGCTCAGTGTGAAAGCCTGTCTGTAGCCTTCCTCTCATGGGCAGCGTGACCTGATTTTGCTGTGATTCACTAACACAGCAACAATGAACAATGTCCCTCATGTCTAACCTATTTTTTGTGGATCTTATTATATGCTGGTTCCCACAGTGCTGGCAAGTTGGGGGTGTTGGTGATTTATTTTAGGGTGTCTAACTCAATGCTGGCTAGAATGCAGTCTTCAATTCGCTGTCATTTTTTTGTTGATTAGACAGAATTCCCTCAAAGGTTTGAAAAACGTAATGAAGAACTGTGGGGATTCTGGGTGGTACAGTGTTGTATTAAACCTGGCTCAGGGGTGTTGCCAAGCTGTCTGTGGGCAGGTGGTTGTGTGAGTGCAGCCGATGGAGCCTTTCTGGGGCCATCAGGCAGGAGTGTGCAGACCCAGCCCAGCAGTGTGGCTGTCAGGAGCTTCCAGGTCGTTGGGGATGTTTGTTTGGAGCAGGTTTCTATCAGCCTGCGGGGACTGCAATCTCAGGTCTTAGGTTTTAGGTACCCCTTCATGCTGAACTCTTGAGTGGGACAGCTCAGAGATTGGGTGCCAGCAGCCTTGTCCTCTGTGTGGGTGCCAGTGCAGAGGCCTTGCTGTGGGGAGGGACAGGGTGCCGTTTGGGGACATGGGCAGGGACAGGAGCTGCTCTGTCAGTGATGCTGCGTTTCTGCTGGCGCAGACAAAGCCCAGCACGGCCCCGCTCTGCCGGGGATGCCAGAGCTCAGCTGTGATCTGTGCAACCCTGTTCAGCAATCACTGCCACTGCTGGCTTTACTTCAGGGATTAGTGACATCTTAGCACTGTGGTGGTTGGGATTTCCAGAAGAGACTGCAGCAATCCCTGTTTTTCTAACTGAATAGCTTACGGAAATGTTTGCAAGTCTGTTTAAATGTTTTCCTTTACCATTACACGTGGTTGCAGAGGGAGCAGCTCTGTGCACACGTGGCTCTTGGCCTGCTCCAGCGTGGACAGTACAACCTCTGTTAGGCTGATGACTTGATTTCACAAAACTTTCTCTTCAAAACTCCATTGCTTACAGCCCTGGGCTCGAGTTAAGCAAACAGCTTGTGCTTTCTTTGAGTGTTTTGTCTTTTGTTTGCTGTTTAATGGCATTTCAGCTGAGTGATCTGTGCAGCAGTGTGCTCTGGGGTCACAGAGAGCTCTGTGCCTGTGGCACTCTGGCACTTGGCACCGCTGTATCCAGAGCGAGCCAGAGCCTGAGGAATTTGGTGAATGTTGTACTTGTAAACTTGTCAAAAGATCTTCCCTCAGTAAAATCAGATAATAGCGAGTAATTGAACTGTTTCTCAAGATTTCTAATCTAAATGGACTCTTTAAGCTGTCTTGGCATTTGGTTTTGCAAAATGTCATTTCCTATTCATTTTTTGTTAAATGTTTGACTTACTGACATATCCATTTTCAGAGGCTGCAATTTGGGTTTGATCTCTGCTCAAAACCACTGTTTAAATGAAGGGCCTTAAATTATTGAAATTGTATGAGGAAAGCATTTTATATTCTCTTTAGGCACATGTTCAGCTGAACCTGTCTTGGGTTTAAAATGGAATCATCTGGATACAAATGAGGTGACCCTCTTAAGTGTGTGCAATTCACTGCTGACAGAAATAACCCAGGTACATTTGGGGGAAATTGGGGGGTTTTTAGGTGCTAGAATTAACAGCAACCTTCTATCTATCATATTGGATACACTGATATTTGTTGCCTCTTCAGCTTTTCTGATCTTTGAAATTTTTGGGTTTTCTTATTTTTTTATACTGCAGAAGAGCTTCCTTATCTTTCTTACATTGCTGTCATGAACTCATTTTTCTGAACTCTGAGCAGTTTTGATGTGGGGTAACTGCTCTGAAATCCAACTGCCTGCTTGGCTACAGCTGAGCTTGATAGTCCTGGAGCAGGAAACAGATGGTGCTAGATGGCAGGTTGTAGAATCACTGAATTTTTTAGCTTGGAAAAGACCTCCAGGAATGAGTCCAACCATTTCCCCAGTGCTGCCAATGCCACCAGTAACCCATGTCCCCAAGTGCCACGTCCACACGACTTTAGGGATAGTTACTCCACCATTGCCCTGGGCAGCCTGATCCAATGCCTGAGGGGTAGTTACTCCACCATTGCCCTGGGCAGCCTGATCCAACGCCTGACAACTTTTCCAGTGAATGATTTTTTTTTTTCTGCTATCCAATCTAAACCTCCTCTGGTGCAATTTGAGGCTGTTTTCTCTTGTCCTGTTGCTTGTTAATTGGGAGGAGAAGAGCCTGACCCCCACCTGGCTCCAGCCTCTTTTCAGGGAGTTACAGGGAGTGAGAAGGTCTCTCCTGAGCCTCCTTTTCTCCAGGCTGAGCCCCCCAGCTCCCTCAGCTGTTTCTCATCACACTTGTGCTCCAGAGCCTTCTCTGGACATCTCTTACAGACATTTGTCCCCAAGGGTGGGTTGACTCCACATTTTAAAATCTTCACTGTAGATTGTTTTGCAGGGTATGCACAGCAGGCCTGCTTTACCTGGCTCTTACACAGGGCTCTTAGCAAACTCCCAACCACCTAATAAGCTTTGTGAAGGCTCAAAATAGTCATGTATCAAGTCTGATTAGAAACTGGGACTTCCTCTTTAAAGAGCAAGAGATCCAGAATTTAAGATCTGCTTAGTCTGACATTTTTCCACATTGAAGCAGCTGCCCAGACTTGCAGACTGTTTGCTGCTTGGCACTGGATGTTTTCACCCAAGATCCTTCTTGAAACAGGAGAGTTTTCTACCACCACCTTTAGTGGTGATGTATTCCAGTGAGGAGCTTCTGTTTTGGACTAATTGGTGCTGCTGTAGTTGAGGAGGAGCTCCTACAAGAGAGTGTTTAATTCTGGCTGGTGTGTTAGGACAGGGCTGGAGATGGCCTGGCCATGAAGAGTGTATTAACTCAGTATAATTGGGAATGGGTTATGTGTGGGGATGGAGAGAGAAGTTGGAGCTGTAGCTGTTCCTCCATGTCAGGCACTGCATGGTGCTTTGAATCAATTCAAGGCAATGCCAGCTCAGAGACAATCTGGCTGCCAGCCTCTCTTCCACAGCCCTGCTGGGACTGTCTTCCTTGGAGAGGAGTCATGGCCTGTGGGGTGGCAACAATTTGGAAGCACTTGAGTCCTCTGGACCCTCTTGCAAGAACAACCCAGGCTCCTCAAAAACTTTCTGCCTTTTCTCCCCACTACCCCCATGGAAATGCTGCCTGCTCATGAAATTTCATCCTTGAAGCTGTAAAACTCCTCTCTGTGGGAGCTGTGCTGAGACCTGCAGCCAGTTTAGAAGGCTCCAATGTATTTGTAAGTTCATGTTTGCTGCAGGCTGAGCTGCTAAGCCTTCCTGCAGGCCTGGAAATTCAAGCACTCAAGTAAAAAGGACCCTGGAGGATTTTCTGTGCCTGTGCTCATTTGCCAAGCAAGGAAGCTGTTTCCGATGGCTGTATCCTGCACAGCTCTCCTGAGATCTCATCCTCTGGCAGGAGCCTGGGCTGGTGCTGCCACAAGGGCAGTGTGACAGCTCTGCCTTGGGAAGGAGGTGTGGAGAAAGGAGACTTTCATTTCCCTCAAACTCTCCCTGTGCAGGGGTTTTCCATGACCAGCACAGGGATGAATGCAGTCAGCATGAGCTAGAGGTGAGTGCTTGTCTTCCAACCTGGCAGCAGGGCTTCAGCTCCCTAAATCCCTGTTTGCTCTGCATTGTCTAATGCCCTGTTGCGAAACCACGTTCGAGGCAAGAAGAATGAGAGAGTTTGTTGTTGGCTTTCACTGGGGGCTGGAGCAGAGGCTCAGCACTGCCCTGCCAGTCCCCTCCTGCCTGTGAGGTGCTCTCCTCGCTCTCCTGCCTCTGTTGGGTTTGTATCCTGGTAACTTCACTTGTGCTCAGGTGCACAGAACTCCCTGCGGTCCCTGGAGCTCTGGGAAGCATGAACAAAACTCATCCCCAGGTACAGTTCTTCAGAGAAATCCTACACACAGCTGTTCCCTGAAGTACGCGTGTTCTTGCCTGTGCTCTTTGCCTGACCTCTTTGTCACTGCTTTCTCTGAGATTTTGAGCTGTTTCTACTTATCTTGATACAAAAGAGTTGATATCAAGTGCTGGATTTGGTTGGTGTTTGTTTTACAAATGGGTAATTAAGGTTTAAAAAGGGATACGATGGTTTGATTGTCTTGGGAATTAAAGGTGAGATGTTTTCACTGAGGCAATTTTTGCTTGTATGTAACACTAATGGAGTAGGTGAGGTATTCCTGGGTAAGATGTGAGAACTAGAAAGGTGAAGTTTGTGTGGCTGTGGGATTCTGTAAATCCCTTTTATCCCTTTCCTTCTAGAGAAACGGTGATGTAGCTACTTTTGGTTCAACAGAGTCCTCCTCTGGAGAAAGAGGTAATGAATAAAATGCAGAGTTCTATTATTAAAGTATAAATCAATAGAAACTATCAATGTAATATAAAATACAACCACTATTTATGGTCTGTTTGGACTGATTTTCCGTTTTTTCTGTGTAGTGAAATGTCCAGATTATAAAATTAATAAACTTCAGCTGTTCTGTGTTGGCCTGGAGCTGGCAGTCATATGTACAGTGGTATGATAGGTGATCCTTGTCAGTCACAGAAAGGCTCATAATGAGTTTGCTGTGGCCTTTGCCTGTGTGTTAATAGCCAAACTTCAGCAAATTTTGCCCATGCTCTGAAGGATGAGGTGGGGTCAAAGAGAACCAAATAGCAAGCCTGTAGTTCAGCTTGAAACATTTCATCACCACCCTTATTTTATATTCAAGTCTGTTTGTAATTGCTGTCCTTTGTAGTCAGAGATGTTTTGTAGATACAGACATGCTGTAATTCACCATTTCTCTTCTGAGCTGAAATCTTCTGAGTTTGGCTCCTGCTTGAGCATGGCAGAGGGGGAGGTTGCTGGAATCAGGATCCTTTTGCTGTTGAGCAAAGGCTGTCCCTTCCCTTGAGTTTGAACAACTAAGTAAACACAAAGCACAACTAAGACAAATTCTAACTTAAAAGTTCTTTCAGTTCCTAAAAGCTTTTTAAAATTCTAATTAAAGATTTTGAAGTTCACAATATACCAAAATGAATGATACAGGCAGGATTGCCTTAAATGACTGGTTTCATGTTTCTGAGATGACCACACTGGTATTTTTTGCTGTTGGTCTGGGAAAATGAAGGAATGGAGGGAAATACCCTGTTGGTTTAGAGGCAGAGCTGCAGGGGCAGGTTGCTGAGGTGAGGGTGGGTGCCTGGCCTGGCTCCTGCCTGTGCCACCATTGTGTTGCAGTGATTGTGGGTTTGGCCTTTAGCTCATGCAGTTGGTTTGATTTATGTCCCTGGCTTTCTGACAGCTGGAGTCCCTGGAAGGTTGCTGTGCCCTGGAGATGTTGTTAGGGAGGGAAAGGGCAGCTCTTCGTTCCTTCTCACCATTCTGGGCTGACAGTCCAGCCTCATTCCATGGGAGTGTGAGTCCTGGCTGGGGCAAAAAGCCTGAAGTGCTGTAAAATGAAATCTTACCTCGTGGGGAGTTTTGTTATGGGCTCTGGGAGGGCACCTTGCCCAGCCTCACACCAGCCTGCCCTGTGTTCCAGTGTCACTGCTGTCCCACTGGGCAGGGGCTGGGCAGGGGTTTGGGGTTCATCCCCCTGCATCCGAGCCACAGGATGAGCTCCACGGAGATGTGGGGCTTGTGCCATTCAACCCCAGTGCCCTGTAGCAGCAGTTTCACTCTGCAAGCAGCAAAATTCCCCAAATGGTGGAGTTTGGCTCTTCAAACTCAACTATCAACCCCTAACCCCCAGGAGCCCCCATGCAGAGACCCCGAAACATCATCCTCGTGTCCCTGCACTGCTCCCCTCTGAAACACCCCAGACCCTTCCTCAGTCCCTCTCTCTCTCTCATCTCCCCAGGCTGCTGCCATCCATGTGGTGCCCGTGCTGGCTGCACACAGAGACACCTCTGCATCTCTGCCCTGGCACTGCTCGTCCTCGCCGCCGCCGCGGCCTCGGCAGTGGCAGCCCTGGCACTCCTGCCACGAGCACCAGGTTGTATCCCAAGAGTGGTTGTTTTTTTGGTAAGGGAGGCAGAAATGGTGCTGCATGAGCACAGCTGTACCAGCTTTGCTCAGCCCAAATGGCCACCAGCCATTCCCTGGCTCTGTCTGGCTCCACAGGGCTGGGATAACTCTGGGTAGCGCTGTCATACTTAAAACTACTGGTGTAGTTTTCAGATTCTGCCATGAACCTAGCAGAAATTAATCCTGGCCCCTGGTTATTTCCAGAACAAAAAATTTCATAAAACCCCCTTTACTCCCCTTGATCTATTCCTTGTATCACAAAAATGCTGGAAAATAAGGGTTTTCTTGCTTTCCCCTCAGTGAACCGCCTCTGCACAGCCCCTAATAACAGGACAGGCTTCTTGTGTGATGACAGAGTGACTTGTGTCCCTGCCAGCTGGGTCTGTGACAGAGTCAGCAACTGCAGGAACGGAGAGGATGAGCAGGAGCAGCTCTGTGGTGAGTGGTTTTGTTGTGAGCATCTCCCCTGCGCTGGTCTCCCAGTTGTGAGACAGCAGCCAGGGTTCCTCTGACCCTGCTCTGTGCTCCTGGCTGCCTACACGAGCAGACAGGCCTGCTAGAGCCTTTGTGGGGCAGATGCTGAGAGATGGCACTGCCCAAAACCTGGCAGGAATGCCAGGAATTAAAGACTCCAAGCTCATCTGATCTTCCTAGGTTTTTTTTTTTTTTAAACCATGATGTAGTTTTCCTCCATCAGTGAAGCTGTATGCCTACATGGGTAATTTATTGTTCAGTCACCCTGGAGAAAAAACTAAATAAAGCAGAAACCTGGGGCATTCTTCCTGTGTCCCACGACAGAGCTTCCCCATTTGTTCATGTTCCTTTGATACTGCAGGGGAAGCGTCCTGGCAGCAGCCTTTGGTGCATGCCATCCCCGTTTTAGCTGCTGTGTCTGTGCCTGGGGGAGTTTAGCATGTCCTCTGTGTGTGCCCTTGCAGGTGACTTGCCCCACAGCCTGCCAGGATACCTGGTTTTCTACTGCAGCAACCCCAGGTCCTGGGTTTATGCTGACCAGAGGTGTAACGGGATGAACGACTGCGGGGACTGCTCGGACGAGACGTGGAGCTGTAAGTCTGTCTGCTGGCTCCTGTCTTTCTGCTGATGGATTGCAGCAGCTTCCACAGGTGTGGTGCTCGTGGAGGCTGCTGGAAATGCCTGGAGAGTGGCACCCACCTCTGAAACACAAAACAGCTGGGGTGGGTGTGGGTGTGAGCCCTGCAGGCTCCCTGCCTGCCAAGGCTTCTGTGTCAAAGCCTGGTGGCACCTGAGGGAGGAAAGGCTCCGTGCTTTGCTCCCAGTCCCAAAAATTGCTCTTCCTCCGTGGTTTGCTGATGTGGAGCAGGTTCATCAGGATGTGTGGCTGTTAGTAGTAACCATTCAAACTGGTTTTTGGTAGCTGGTCAGCAGATGGGTGGATCTCCAAGCTGTGCAGGAGCTGAGTCTTGCTAAAATGAGCAGCAGATTTGTTCCTAAGTCACTTCCATGGTTTTGGGGAAAAAAAAAAAAAGGGAGGGGGGGAAAATTACAGTTAGTTGTTCCCCCAGGATGGCCTTTCTGCCGTGAAGGTCATTGCAATGTCACACTCTGGTTGTGACAAGCAGCACCAAGCCAGTGTCTCACTGGCTCACAGTCACAGGGTTGTCACCAGCAGATTTTCTGCTGGGGGCACGAAAGGATTTTACCCACGGAAGGGAGGAGGGAGGGGGTCAGTGCAGCAGAAGCATTTCAGTTCCCTGTTTTGTGTCCTTCCCAGTGGCTGCCTGCCCCCCGTGCGGGCAGGAGTGGTGGAGCTGCAGCCCTGTGCACTTCGAGTTCTGCTCCTGCATCCCCAGGAGGCTGTGCCGGGACGGAATCCAGCACTGCCTGGGCTGGTCCGACGAGTTCCTCTGCACAGCCTGAATCCTGGCACCTGTCCCTGCTGGGGACAGCAGGGTGCTTCCCACTCGTCACCCTGGAGCCTTGGGGTCCTGTCCTGCCAGCCCTTGGGAAGCTCCAGCCCGAGCAAATCCTCCCCAGCAGCGCAGTGACACGGAGCAGGGACCAGGGGCCCGTGGCAGCCCTCGGCTGGACGCTGGCTGTGGGACAGCTGCCAGGAGCCTGTGCCATGTCAAGGTGACACTTCCTTCATGGGCAGCACTGACTCGATGCTGGGCTGGAGAGGCTTCACCAGCCACAGCTGGCACAGCTGGCACTGCCCTGGGCCAGGGGTTCCTCCTCTGGTGTCAGCCCGGGGCCTCTGCAGGCAGCCATGCCGAGAGCTGCCCCGAGGAGCAGGAGCTGAGTGGGGTGAGGTGAACACATCTCCAGAGTCCTGATCTTCTCTGGCAGCTTCTGTTTGTGTTCAGAACACATCTGCAGATGGTTTCAGCAGTGACTTTGAGGGTGACTCTGTGCTGATGCTCCTGGGACACTTCCTTGGGATGGCTGTGCTGGGAGTGACACCGTGGGGAGATGCTGCTCAGGCCACCTCCTGCTCCCTTCTCAAACCACAGAGGCCAACACAGAGAGTGTAATGGCACGGAAAACTGGAGAAGTTTCAGGGTTTGGGGGATAAATCATGTCTCTGTGACAGAGTAGCTGTCCCTGAGAGCCAGGGCAGGGAACCAGCATAAATAAATAACATGCTCTTCACCCAGGGCTGTGCAGTTTTGCAGCAGCAGGCTGAGAACAGCCATGGAGCTGGGATGGGTCTCACTGAAGTTGGCAAAGAAAGGAGGAAAAGGAAGTCTCAGCCTTGGAGCAGAGAGCAGCAGAAAATCAAGTGCTGCTCCCAGGATGGTGTGGGATGACACTGGATCTGTTTGCTGCTTGTTTTGTTCCTCTGCCAGCAGGGCACAAGCAGGCAGCCAAGCCTTCAAAGCAGTCCTCAGGATATAGGTGTGGACATGACAGTGAAATTTAAGAAAGATGAGGTTCTCTCTGCTCCTTTGAAAATATCATCTGTGTCTAAAACATTGAGGAAAACCCCACATTTACAGTGAGTACTCTTACTTTTCTAGGCCCCAAAAAAACACGAGGTGATTTTCTTCCCATTGCCACCTCAGGTCATAGATATTTAAAAATAAACCCCTGTTCACTCATTTCTTCTCAGTCCTGTGATCTGCAGCTCTGCCTGTCACTGTAACTCAGATCAATGGTGAATGTTGCTTCTAATTTGTCACTGGGATACAGCTGGAAATCTGAGAGATCTTTTTATAAATAGCTTTACAGTATTGTGACTCACACTCTGCCTGGAACGAGAAGGCAAAACTCTGCATGGGGGAATGTTAAAGCTGCTTTTACTCACCTGTCTCTCTCCAGGCCTGGCCAGGGTGCACAGCTTGTTTTCTCTGTGTCTGTAAAATGTCATCCCAGTGCAGTAAGGATTGAACTAATCAGCTGTTAAAAAAAATAAATATATATAGGAACCCTCATGCTAGCACAGGGCCCAGGTAATGGGTTTGATTAAATCAGGATTGGTAAAAAAATGTGCATCTCTCCATGCAAATCACCGTATCTCCAATGGTGGAAGGGGTGGCCAAAAATTCCATGGTGGCAATTGCACCAGAAGCAGCTTGAGGGGGAAGATGGCACATCTTCCTCCCCACTGAGCCACTGTTTTGAGTCACAATTTGTGCCATTATTTGTCTCAGCAGAGAGCTGATGTAGTTGTCAGGGGAAAGTATTAATAGCCTTGAGTTTCTGGGAAAAGAAAGTAGGATTTCAGTGCAAGTGTGCCTGTTTTGTTTGTGTGCAGTCCTTTTCTGAGGAAAATTCAGCAGTAAGGAAAAGACAAAGGGGTTTTATTCTTTAGGCATTTCTGAGCTGAAGTTCATGTTCTTGGCCTCTTTGTGGTTTCCAAGAATGTGCTGCTTTTCTTGGCGATGAATTATGGTAAACAACAGTGTAAAAGGAAGATACCCTCTGAAGAGCACTAGCAGGGGAAACCTGGAGAAAATCCTTGGCCTCATGAGGCCTCAGAGGCCAGTGATGAGCACTGTGCACCTCAGCCAGTTGTGATGGGAACAGGGCAGGAATTCAGTGTTTAACAGTTACCTGCAGCATTTTCAGCTGCACACACCAACACAGAACAGGTCTGAGTGTCAGGGTGATTTACAGCTGATCTGCATAATTAATATTTGAATTATAAATGCCTCTCAGTGTTTTCAGATGGAGAAGCACAGTTAGTGTATTGCAGGCACACTGAAAATGGGTTTTAAAGCACAGAATTATCTCAAATGCAGTGAATTTGCTTTTAAGGGAGAATATATTACAACTGCAGAGCATAATCTCTACAGTAACCTCATTCCAGCTCTCATTTCCTGGGCTAAAATGAGAAAGAAAGGGGATTTGTGTTCCACTTTGGGCTTCTGCAGTGGCTGTTGGCGAGGTGTTACTGCCTCTGCCTCCCTTCCCAGAGGTCTGTGCTTATCCTTTGTGCTCCCTCCCTCTGCACAGCCCCATCCATCAGCACAGCCTGGTGCTTTCAAACTGAGGTTTCTGTTCTAGCAGCACTGTAAACATCCCATGGCACTGACAAGCCCAGTGCAGCTTCATTTCAGATGAGCTGCAGTGATTTGTGTCCTGCCCCTGGAGAGGCAGGAGAGCAGCAGGGACAGGAGCAGCTGTTTTGGTGAAAAACACCTTCAGCACAAGAGTTAATTAAGGATGACAACAAAAACTTTATTTGAAAAAATTATTATGTATTGAAAATATACAGTAGCATTACCAACCTCCTTGTGTCTATCCCTCCCCCAGCACAGGTTACCCCACAGGCATGTCACAGCAACCAGATTTAACAGTACTTTGTCACTCCCTCTCAGTATGTCCAAATCCTGTCATCAGCAAGAGAACAACAAACAAAAGACCCACTTCTTTCTGACTCAGTAGGTATTTAACAAATCCCAGTCCTCCACAGTGAGGCACAGATGCTTCTGTTTGGAAGTCCTTTCTCTCTCCTGTTCAGCCAAAGCTCTTTTTTTATTGTTCTTTAATTCATGGCTGCCTGCAACCTCCTTTTTCAAAGGTAAATGGCAATTTTCAACGTTTTCCTTATAAAACTGCAAGTTTCCAGATGCTTTAGTTTCTGGCTCCACCAGTGTGCATTTGACTACTTCCTCTATTCTGTGTGTCTTGCCATCTACAAGCAAAAATATCAAGTTTAGATTGATTTAGGGAAAAACAGAATTATGCTGTAAAATGCATAACTTTGTGGTACAAACTGTTATGGCCAAGCCAACTTGGAAATGTGCACAGGAAAAAAATACCATTTATATTTTGGATTCAGAATATTAAGGAAAAAACTCAGTTCTTACATGTGCTGTACTTGAATTATCCAGGAGTTAACAAATTAAAAAACTCAAGTACATTGTAGTGCAGCTACACAAAGGGCTGAAATTGCACATCTGAGATGCTATTTGTACTATAACCCCAAAAAGTATGAGAATAGTCCCTGTAGAAAAGAAAATAAATCAACTCTGTGGTGTCTGTGCAGTTACGTACAGAAGCGAAGAGCTGCTACTCTGGATCTCAGGTTGTCCTGGGGCTTCATGGCCTCCATAACTGCCTGCTCCCACTGCAGAACTGTCTGAAAGAACAAATGAAGCAGTTAAAATGTGTCTTGCAAAATTTACAGAAATATCACTGGAAACAACTCCATCCCTTGTTCTTTCCTATTCAACGATTTTGTATTCTGTAGGGCAAATTTTTAGAGAGTAAAACAGGTTTAAACCCCCCCCCCTTACCTGCTCTGCCCATCCCTCTGTTTTGCAGTTACTGTGATCAAATTCTTTCAGAGGCACTTTTGAGTGAACCAGGCCTATCTGCACTTGAAGTCGCTTTATGACAGCATCAACATCCTGGGAAAAAGGGACATAAAGCAGTCAGAGGGCAAGAATTTTGTTACACTTGTCCAGTAAACTTTTCCTGATGATTTTTACCTTGAGACCTGTCCCAGAAATGTCCAAACAATTCAATTTCTTGAAAGAAAGAAGGTATCCAATTCCCACATCTGTGATTTTAGGGTTACCTGTAAGGCCAAGTAAAGTTAATTAAGTTGCATGATGTCGAAAAATATTATCAAAATACCAAGGCAGTATTTGTTCTAAAAGCTAATACTGGAACAAGACTGACTTTCGCCCTCTAATTATCAAAATACAAATATTTACAATACCAATTCTCAAACTAATAAAAATACTTATGTACGTAGCAAATGCCTGAGACCTCAGGTCTGCCCTGTGCCTTCTGGGATGCTGCTGGTCAAATCTGGGGTTGAGCACTTTGCTCATGGGAATCAACAAATTAATTGTACTCCTTCAGTGCTAAGGAGGATAAATTCTTTATCAGGAGGGACACAGGTTCTTTCTGTCATGAGACCATGGAGCACTTACAGGACAAGTCCAGCACCAGCAGATTGTCAAGCCCCTTTTTCAGCACGCGGACGGGCGCCGTCATCCTGCGCAGGCCGGCATCCGACAGGGAGTTGTCCTTCAGGAGAAGCCTCTTCACACTGGCAGCAGATACAAACATGGAGTTTATGGTCATTATTTCTGAGAGTTTTGCAAAATGTCCTAAAACTCTGTGTCAGAAGGGTCATCGTGTGCCAAGCCCTACAGGCTCACTGTAAAAAGCAGCGAGGAAGGAGCCTGGGTTAGCAGGAGTAACAAATATCTTTGTATTTCTCTGCTAGCTCAACAGAAGCACTACTTGAGCAGCTATTCCCACAGCTCCAGTGACAAACTGATCCTACAGCCAAACATTTGCCAACAGAGACAATAATCTCCTTTATACACTGAAGTTCTTTATACCAAGGCTGCCAAACTGAAATGCACTCAAAACTAAGAAAAAATGCTTGGCAAACTGAGAGAGAGCAGATTCGATAAGTGATCATAAGCAATGATTTTAAGAAAGTAAAATATGGTCTTAATGAGGTCTTATAACATTGATTAACAAAACTCAGGAAAAAAACATCACATTGAAGTGCTCTCTTCAGAGCACTTCAAGATAAAACCTTGATGCAAAATGCACCAAAATCTTAGAGCAACATAATATCCTTAATTAGCTTACCTAATGCTTCCAGAAGTATCTATTTATCATTTTTTGGTACCAAACAAAATTACAAAATTTACTGTTTTGAGATGTTAACTAACCAAATAATCAATCTCCTGCTTGCAGAAATCTTCATGTAGAACACTAGTTTGGTTAAGAATTTCGTTGATAAAGTTCCCCCTTAAAAATGGGAAACGTAAAACTGTTCCAAATGTTAAAGACGCATTTTTTACCCAGACAATGAAAATTATAAAAAGTTGATATAAATCATGAGACAATAAATTATCTTGCATATTTTTAGTACTTTTTAGGATTTAGTATGTGCTTTGTGCACAATAAAGTCTGTATTTTGTTTACCTACAGAACATGTTTGATGAGCAACCAAAATCTTCAACATTAGGCTCTGCACCCTGTGAAACTTCCCTCTAAAGTCTCAGCCTGATTCTTTGAACTGCTTAGTGGTAGGAAAGAAAGTGTCATTTTTAGCTCAAGAAATTGGTACCTAGACAGGGCCTCTTTGGTGAGGTGTTCCAGCAGCTCATGTTCATCTCCAAGTTTACAGCAGGAGAGATCCAAACACGTCAGCTCCCGGAAAGACTTAATTTCTTCAAGCTTTTCAGAGATAACCAGGTATCTACAAAGCCAAAAAAATATAAAAAAAAAAAGCCAGTGCTCAGGCCTGTAAGGTGTCTACGTCCCTAAGTGTCATAAGCAAAATGCACTTGTTTCTGCTAAGTACCCATGTGAAAATTGGCAGAAATTACCCAGCTGCACTAAGTACCTCTTTATGTGCAGCTGGCACACAACATGTCTGAATTCCCAGTTTTGTCCTTACATCCCTGTCATGGTTTAGATTTGATGCAAAATATTGGACTAACAAGACTTCAACTTGCAAATATTGCTATTAGGAGCTTCTTTACAGATTATTGCTGTATTATTTCAGGATAATGCAAATAAGTCAGCTTCACAAACAGCTCTTCCTCAGTGTCTAGGAAGGGTATAGACACACCCACATTCATGCAGGTTTAAAATCCACCTCAAACATGGATTTTAAACAGGACAGGATAGCTTGTCAGTGGCAAAATTTTACTTATTTAAAATATATGTCAATAAAATGCTTGACTAGGGGTAGAAGTCCAGGACTGGCCAGAGCTGTGGCTACACCCTGGGCAGCAGTTACTCAGTGGGGTTTTTTTTTAGCTCTGCTGGTTCCCTGGTCTGATTCACTCAGCAGCCACGCAAACATCTGTGCTGGAGCCATTCAGTAGGAGGCTCAGAGATGGGAACAAACCACTGAAGAATGGCAGGCATGAGTATGCAGTAATGAGCACGTAGCCCTCAACACCTCCCCTGCAGTCACCTCTTGCTGTCTCTGTGGCAAGACAAGCTCCAAATTCACTGATCTCTCCTGAATTTACCTCATATTCCCCATGGCAAGACACACCCTGAGGTCAGCATCCTCACTGCATAAACTGGGGGTGATTTGATCCCTCCAGGAACATCTCTTTGTCCATGCAAATAAGAGGACCTTAATATCCTCCCAGTGTAATTTTACCCATCAAACCAACACCTCACACCCCTTGCCTGTGCAATTTGGCTCTGCAAAAAGCACAACATACAGTCAGAGCGTAAGCCAGTTCTTGAGAGAGATTATTAGCTCAGGGGGGTTCTAGAGAGGGCTCTTTTACAAATAAAATTCATCAGAAAATGCCTTAATGCCTTACCTCCTGGATTTCAAAGACTTGATACTTAACTCAGCTTTCTGTAATGCCAAAAGATGCCAGAAGTAGCTTAATTTCTAAATTAAGTCCATAAAATTATCTGTGCTAGAGATAAAAACGGAGTAGGTTTAAAGGATAAAACCAAGGATAATTGACTTCTACTCAAACATTCCTACTGTGCTCAGAACACCCTTGGCACTTCAGATGAATATGCCAGTACTTTGATTATAAACTGGATAAACCATCCTTTTTCGAGTGTAGAGATGGAAGAGAAGGGTTCTATTACTGGGAAATACTTCAGTAGGAGCAAGGCTTTAAAAACATAATCCAGTTTTAAACTTGGCAAGACTTTTTCAGTTGAAGATGTTTCACTGCATAAACTGGGGGTGATTATTCATTTGATCCCTCCAGGAACACCTCTTTGTCCATGCAAATAAGAGGACCTTAATATCCTCCCAGTGTAATTTTACCCATCAAACCAACACCTCACACCCCTTGCCTGTGCAATTTGGCTCTGCAAAAAGCACAACATACAGTCAGAGCATAAGCCAGTTCTTGAGAGAGATTATTAGCTCAGGGGGGTTCTAGAGAGGGCTCTTTTACAAATAAAATTCATCAGAAAATGCCTTAATGCCTTACCTCCTGGATTTCAAAGACTTGATACTTAACTCAGCTTTCTGTAATGCCAAAAGATGCCAGAAGTAGCTTAATTTCTAAATTAAGTCCATAAAATTATCTGTGCTAGAGATAAAAACGGAGTAGGTTTAAAGGATAAAACCAAGGATAATTGACTTCTACTCAAACATTCCTACTGTGCTCAGAACACCCTTGGCACTTCAGATGAATATGCCAGTACTTTGATTATAAACTGGATAAACCATCCTTTTTCGAGTGTAGAGATGGAAGAGAAGGGTTCTATTACTGGGAAATACTTCAGTAGGAGCAAGGCTTTAAAAACATAATCCAGTTTTAAACTTGGCAAGACTTTTTCAGTTGAAGATGTGGGCATTGAGAAGATGGAAAAAACTACTGCTGGGCTGTAATCAGGACCTTGTTAAAGTACAGTCAATATGGGGGTGGCAACAACAACAAATTAAGGTAAAACCTGCCTGATTTCAAAGCCTGAAACTTACCAATAAGTCTGTATCTTCTGCTGAGCCCCCAAAATGAGACCTGACAGCAAGCTCATAGTTAGTAAGCCCAAACAATTTGCAAGGGTGTATTTTATCTGTACAGTCAGCTAAGTGTGTTGAAAAGCTTTTAAACAGCAACTACAGAAACATCCCATGAAATGCCTGAGAAGGCACTAAGCACATGGATTTCCACAGAAGTGCTGATTATTATTGTTAAAAATAGTTAGTTGCAGGTTTAACCCTCCACATAAGATGCCCTGTTGGTTAAAACAGATGTAGTCTGTTACCTCTGTTATGATTTGTATTTTAAAATGAAACCTACAGCTGCACTTGTAGGAAAGGGATGGGACAAAAGACAGCAAGCACAAGAATCAGATAATGCTCAGGGCATTTCATTAAAATTAGGTGGTGTTATAAGCCCAAAGTGTATTTTTATTTAATTTAATTTAGGGGAAGCTTGAAGTGTGTTAGCAGATGACAAGATTTGCCAGGGGACACACTTACCTGTTCCGCAAGCACAGCGAGCACAGCACCAAACTGCCATAGGCTTCAGTGAACTTCTGCAGAGCTCTCAGTCCTGTCACTGGCTCTGTGAACTTTTGTCTTGCTTCTGCTGCTGAAAAGAGCTTTTCAGCAATCTGCTCTGGGAAACCAATCAAGGAGTCAATGTGATCTACATTGTCAGAAATGTAACCCAGCACTAGGCTGAAGAGGGACTTGGCCGAGTAGCGGAGGTTCCCCTCCTTGGTGTATGTGAAGATGAAATGATCAGTCCTCTGCCTCCTTGCCCTATCATCCTCCCTGTTCATGCAAAGCTCCACTGAAAAAGTTCTGGAAAACAGACTAAAAGGTCTTGCTTTGGGTGTGACATTCTGTACGCCGCCTGCACCCCGATTTACCACGTGCAGCTTCCCATTTTCACGCACGTATATTGGCCCAGTATCCAAATGGCTTTCTGAGTGGAGACAGTACGACATTCCCCTCGACCAGCTCTGCAAAAACAAATCACAGTCAGGTGAAGAACAGCCACAGAGGAAAACATGTCCCAGGGAAGCCCCCAAAGCTGGCAGCTCCCCTTAGAGCCCTGAGCATGGCCACGTAGCAAGGAGGGCAGGCTGTGTGGAGCAGGGGTGTGAGCTGCCTGCCACACACCCCGTGCGAGTGGGAGCTGGACCCCGGGCTGGCTGAGACACCCGGGATGGATCCCAGGTCGGGGATGGAGATAGGGGCAGCAGGAGAGGGGCTGGGGTTGAGTGGGAAGTGCCCTCACAACCAGGCCTGGCTCTGCTGCAGGCAGGAGAAGGAGGAGGAAGAGGAGGGCACATGTCTGACTGCAGCTGGGCAATGGAGCCTGCTGGAACCTCCCTCCCTGGCAGGGTGGGCATCTCCCGGTGCCCCTCACCCAGCCGGTGCCGGGGGGCTCTGAGCGGGGTCCTGGCGGGGGCAGGAGAGCCCAGAGCGCCATGGCGAGGAGCAGGGCAGGGACGGGATCCTCTCACCTCCCGGCCTGCGGGGCTGGCGATCGGCTCCTGCGGGGCGGGAGGAGACCGGGCCCTGCCCGAGGGGGGCCGGGGGTACCGGCAGGGATGGGGAGGCGGGTGCGAAGGGATCGGGTCCAACGCGGAGAGGGGTCAGGGGCTACGCTGGGAAGGCTCTGTGAAGGGATCGGGTTGTGCCCGGGGCTGAGCGCGCCGTGAGCGGGCACAGCCCCGAGGGGCGCCAGGGGAAGGGGCATAAGGGGAAGGGGCACAAGGGGAGGGGGCACAGGGGGAAGGGTCCCCGCCCAGGCAGGGAGGTCAGAATCCCGCTCGCTCCCCGATCCCCCCGGCCCCCACCTACCTGCCCCGGGAGGGGCCGCGCCGTCAGCCGGGCCGGGGCTCGGCGCTCCCGCCGCCCGTCCCGCAGCGCCCGCGGGCGGCGGGCGGGNCGAGTCCCGCCCGGCCTCCCCCGCCCTACCGGGGGCGATCCCGGCTGCCCGCACCCACCGCGGCCGTAGGGCGGGAGCTGCCGGCGTTGCCCGGGAGCGGCAGCCCCGCGGCGGGCGATGAAAGCCACCGACTGGTGCCGGAGCTCGGCGGGGGCCGCGCTGGTGCTGGCCACGTCCAGCGATGCCGAGCCCCCCGCCGAGAGCGTGGCGGACGGGTGAGGGCCGGGCGGGGGCGCGGGCGGCGGGAGCGGCTCCTCCCGCACGGAGCCCGCCGGGGCTGGCAGGGCTCGGCCCTTCGCCCTCACGCTGGAACTGCTCGCGGCCCGCCGCCATTGCGCGCTCCCGTGTGCGTACAGAGCCTGCCCGGCGAGGTGTGAATACCCCCGGAGAGCTGCTGAAAGTACCCCAAATAAAAATGCCTCCCCCGTCCCTTTCCCCGTCTCCTCCTCCTTTTCGTCCCTCTGCTTCCCTTCCTCACTGTCCCCGTTTTCCCACCCCTTTTCCACCCCTCTTCTTTTCCCCTCCGCTTTCCCCCCTTCCTTTCCCCCTGTATATTTCTGTGATAAATTTCATTCAGGATGGTTATAGATGGAAAGCCGCGGTTAAGGGTTTTGTCCTGTTCTCTCTACAGAAGTTCCAAAACATTTTGGACGACGACAGGCATGTTCCCACAGGAACTGATTATTGGTTTTCCCAAATGTGTAAAAATCAGCAAAGTCGCCATCCAGTGTTATTTGGGTAAGACTTGTGTCTTGCAGTAGGTAATATGTGCTATACTGCCTTAATAAAAGTTCCCACAGTAGTGTCCTAGTCTGTATGTTGCCACTTTTAAGAGATTCATAAACATTTAACGTCACATAAGGATTTAATTTTGCATAAAGATTCATTTTCACAAAGCAATCGTCCTTCATATCCACAATCCCCACAGTTTAGAGAAAAAATAAATTAGTTAATGATCTGAAAGTGTTTTGTGGTTGTAAAGTTATGAATAAATGTCAGTATCAGTAGATAATCAGAGCTTGTGATGATATTTTGAATTGATATGTATTTTAGTGCGGACCTTAAGGATTGAAAGAAGCACGTCTAAAGACCCTGTGGGTTTTGAACAGTGTGTTGAAAAAGGTAAGACTGAGTTTGTGGGGTTTTGTGGGAGCAACGTTGGTGTTTTTCAGTGAATCCATGTAACCCCTCATCTCTTTGTTGAGTAAAGTGTGGTGTGATGATTGTTTTATTAGATGTTAATGTAACAGTCACGTTTAAGTGAATTTTGTTAACACTGCTGGTCTCTGCAGCAGTTTGGAGAGTAAAATGCTGTATAAGGGCTAAAAGCACTACTTGTGCACTTTATGTTCCAAAAATTAAAAACAGGCTTACATAGTATAATAGAGTGCCATTTCCTGCATTGTTTGGCTTGGGGATTGGCTTTTTTTAGTGCCTCTTGGGTGACTTTTTTTAACGCTGTAATGAGTGGGATATATATACACACACACTGGGATCCTGCAAAAAAGTATTCTCTTAAATCACCTGTAAAATGAAAAAAGAACAATGTCTATATGTAAATTCATTGTCCTTAAACTCACTTGAACTCTGAGTCCAGTGAAAACATCACTGGAGTGAAGTGAATAATGTGCATTGCACATTATTCTTCATTATTTACCTTGAAATATATTTTCTAGATTTGCAGCACAGAGAAGGACAGCTCCAAATGGAAGAATTTCCAGTGAGTATTTACAGTGTACATCAGTAGCATTCATGAAATGGGATGTCAGGACTAAGTAGGAAGAAACCATAAAAAAACCAAACTTGTCTTTATTTACAATTATTGCTCAGTTGGTTTTAAAGAGAAGAATTTGTAGATTGTGGTGTGAAATTGCACTTCCCAGCTGCTCCTCTGTAGATTATGCTATGAAATTGCACCTGCCTAGTGCTCCTAACGAGGTGCAAGGGCCCTTTCCAGAAGTGTGGCAATCTTCCCTCCTTCGGTTGCTGCCTTTAAGGCTGCAGAATTCAGGAGGTGATGGGATTTTTTTGAGTTGCAGGTCAAAGAACTTGCTTTATGTGCAGTTCAAAAAACGGACACTGAAAGATCCAGATCCTTGTGGTTTAGCAAACTTCTGCAAATGTGGTTGGGTAGTTTTGTTACTACAGAGAATGCAATGACATTATTTTTATTCCTCCTGCAGCTTCCTGAGCTCCAAGCCACTTACTTGCGTTTCATCATCCAGTCTGCCTTTGATCATTTTGTGTCAGTGCACCGGGTGATGGCAGAGGGCACAGCAGAGAACACTTGAGCCCAGCTTAAATTTGGGCCTCCACTTTATTTTTTTTATAAGGAAGTTACATTTTGATATCTGCACTGCAGAGAATGTTTATTATTAGAACCTTGGATTAAAGTGGTTTTTGAAGGTATGGATGTGGTATGTATTCCCTACTGGTTTAATGTATGGAATAGAATAGGAGAATGTAGAATTATTTAGGTTGGAAAAGACTTTTAAAATGATCAAGTCCAACCACAACACAGTGCAGTTGTTAATTGTAGTAACAGCTCTTTCATTTTGTAACCTGAACTGTCAGCCTAGAACACCTGAACATAAGTGAGTCCATTTAAGGTAGTGTATTTATATCAGGCTTACATAATACATTAATTAAAACTCAATTTCCTGTAAAATGTTTCCCGTGCACTCTGAGTTAAATAGAAAAAAAAGTGTGAGCTACTTAATTGGGATGTGTTACTTCCTACTGTCAAACAAGTCCTTCAAAAGTCCTTAAGTTGGTACATTTCTGATCAGCTCAAACTCAGAGATTATTAGAATGAATATAAATGTCTGCTAATGCTTAGAAATAACCTGGGAGAGAGAGGCAGGGCAGGAAGGGAAATAATCTGAAGCCAAATGAAGTGTTTTGATAGACTTCTAATAATTGTAGATCAATCCCTTGTTTCTATAAATATTTTCTAGAATCAGGTCACAGCCGCCAGTGCTTTAGGCTGGGACCATCATAACAAATACTCATGGAAACAGATGTTGATAGAGATTGTCTTGCTCAGAAGCCTCCTGAAGTCACTGAAAGGGAACATTTTATAAATACAAGTGCAGTGTGTATAATAATGAGAAATCAGTTGCTTTGCATGCTAGTGGACTCTTGCAAATGTCACCACGCTGAAGTTTATCCTGCAGGATATTCCTCACAAGTGTAAATGTTGGTATCCAGAGCTCAGTGGACCCAGCTCCCACATTACTGCATGTGGTATAAGAGTAGTCAGTTACTACAGAACAGAAGTTGGTGTTGTAGGGATGGCACCTGAAAGCTTCTAGACAAACATTATTCCAGATGCTCCTTACATGCATATACAACATTCTTCTTTTCTTCTCTCTATGGCTGTTTTTAAATTCTGGTTTTGTTCCTTAGACTTAGGTCTGTGACGAATTATTTTTGCACTTCTTTATCCAAATAGTTTTTGCTTCGAAGTCCTCTTCTTTTTCTATTTCATTTTTTCCAGGATGGCATGTATTTCCTGGGGGTGGTAATTCCAAGGCCCCACTCCTCCCTGCAAAGGCAATAAAATGACACAGTGATGCTGAAGCAGACAGAGCAGAAATCCTTCAGAGCACAGCAGCTGCACCAGAACTGTGGGCAGGTGTGCCTTGGGCTCCCTTTCCACTGCAGCCATCCCTGGGAGATGGTTACACCCTGCTGTGTCACTGGGACAGAGCCAATGTCTGCATCCTGGAGGAGGGAGGTGTTCCTGGATTTCACAGCTTAGACGTACCTCAGGTTACTAGTGAGCCAAAAGATAAATATTTGAGCAGGACTGAGGTGTACATCAAATATGTACGTTATAAAGGCCCAGACTGGTTTTGCTGCATTTTCATTTCTCTCCACATTTACGGTGCATTGTGAAATGTTTAGCTCTCAAACAGAATGCAATACTGACTGTTAAATGTAAAGCAGTCTCAAGTTACCTTGAAATTTCAAGATCTCTGTACACTGTGCTCATTGGTGCTGGTATTTTTTACCTTGTAGATGACCTTCCCTCCCTGGAGCATGTAGAGTCGCTCTGGCAGCGCGGCGTATTTTGAGCTGGTCAGGTTTTCCATAGTGTCTAAAACCACTGGACACAGAGGGTGATTTTTCTGAAGAAACTCTGCTGCATTTTTTCGATCTTCAAGGCTTCTGTGATTTTTAATAATGACATTGTTTTTAAAAGCCCATCCATCTAAAACAAATGAGGAAGGGATTTAGCAGTGAAGGTTTTGAATAGGTGCAAGGGTGGACGTGTACTGTGTGTCATATCCCAAAACTAGGTTAAAAGAATCTTGCAGTTTATTCCTAACATCAAAACTTGCCATGAAATGAAAGCCCCCCTCAAACTATGTCAGCACTAGAGCTTTCCAATAAGTGGTCCCAAGGTCTGTTTTTCTTCCCTCATCAAACTGCCCTGGATTCAGAAATATTAGATGGATTTTAGCTGAAATTTTCCCACGTAGATCGACCCTAGAAAGACGCCAGGTGGGGAACATGTATTGGGTAAGGTTTGTCAGTGTTGTTCATTTTGCTTGCTTGTACTCATTAAGCCTATAAACCAAAATTACAGGTCTGTGAGAAGTGAAATATGAGCCAGGCCACGCCTTTGTTTATCAGAACTAGGCAAACAAACATTTGCACAAACTCTTCCCAGTAAAGTACAAACTAGCAAAAGGGTTTGATGACTGACTTAATCATTATCTGATTCTCAGTTGCTGACAAGGACGTATTGCTAGAAAACTATAAATGTTAGGTTTTAGAAAAACATTTAATCCTGGGATAAAACCTGTGCCAATGTGTTACTTAGAATCCAGTGTAGATAAACAAGTAGGTTTTGTTTGCTTGCCAAATTTTTCAAATTGGAGTCTGCATATTCTGTTCTTGGAAAATTTTAAAAACTAATTTTTTCTGTTAACACATAATATACTGTACACTTAACTTTTGTTCTATGAAATGTCTTTTCTTCCTCTTTCCAAAAGGAACTGTACTAACATTGAGAGACAATTATTACAAGATACAACTGTGTCCTTCAAATGAGTAACTCAGTGTAAAGTCAGAAGTGTAAGTAGAATCCTAGGAGAATTAGGGATACAAACTGGTGCCTGGATTTGGTATTGCCACTTGATTTGAAGATTTCTGTGCTGCTTGCAGCCCCCTCCTTTGCTAGCACACTTTTTTTTTCCCTAAAGGAAGTGACACATTTGAAGCTGTGGTTGGCATCACTGTGGTTTTTGTACTGTACCTACTGCGTGAGCTTCCTCAATGTAGATGATAAGGAAATCTGCTATTGAGCTGAAATCTTTGATGAGCTTGTTGAACTCATCAAATTTTAGCATAAATGAAGGTCAGGTGCAGCTTCCAAAGTTCAGGATTAAAGGTCGGTTATCTGGAGAAAAAAAAAAAAAAGTTTTGTGATTAAGTGAAGGTAGGAAGGACAAAATTAAATAATTAAATACACTGAACTGAGCCTCTGGTGCAGGGTTTCCTGGACAACACTAAGTGACTTCATAAACTTCTAGGTCAGTAAAATCAGCAGCAGAACCTCTGCATCTCTGCAAAGCAGGCATAAAGGTGTTTTTACTAGCCTGGCTCTATCTGTGCTGCAGCCAGCAAGGAGTTTAGCTAAGGGAACCCTGCCCAGTACAGGCAGGAGTCACACAGCTTCTCTTTTCCTCATCACAAGAGCCAATCAGCAAGTTACCAACATTTTTGGGATAAGGTACTGATCCAAAATGGGCATCTCAGCCTCCCTGAAATCCTTAGTATGGAGCAACTTCAAAAATATCAAACATGGCCTTCTGCAAGGTTATCCAGGGACAGTGGTTCAGGGGTGGGCATTGAGGACAGAGTCCCAGTGCCTTTTCATGTCCAGATTTTTTCAGATGTGTCAGTTCAAGCTGAGCTGAGGGGAAACTGCAGACTTTTCAGTCATGCATCACAGGCTTTCGTGCTTTCAATGTATTTCTGCAATTTCCTGTCCAAACAGAACTCTGGTTATATATTATTATTAAACTAACCTTACACTGGCAAAAAGTATCTGCAGTTGCTTACAAATTAACACAGTATTGTGTTTATGTTGGCATCTGTTTGCAAGGCCTTGATTTAAGAGAGCTTGCAGGATTTTTAAGCACCTCTTTTAGTCTGGTTATGCTGAATTCCATTAAATTTGTCCAAGACCTTTCTGGCATGGCTTAACTTAAAAGCTGCTGCTAACATAGATCCACATCCTAAAGAATTAAATAACAGTGGTACCTTCCTGTAGATACTGTGTATCTCTCTTCAAATTTGCAGCCCATTTTCCACATAAATATCTATATATAATTAGGGATGCAGAGTGAGAGAAGGATGTAATCCCTCCTGTGGGGATGGAGGCTGCAGCTTAATGATTAATTCCACATTCTGCTGAGATCTCAGTGGGAGGCAGCGGACAAAGTACAAAGCAGCTACTTCTGCTTTATTCCCAGCCACTTTAGATCTGGAAAAACCCACTGTGTGCTTTCTAGGCTTTAGGCTAGCTAAGGGAACTGGTGTGGAATTTTCTGTATGGACAGGGAATGGCAGCCAACACTCAGGAATTATTGCACACAGTTCAGTTCTGGGCCTTCTCTCCCTAAAACAAATTATTACCTTGGCTTTCAGCAAAAAGTAAGGCAGAGCCAGCTCTTGCAAAAGCTGAATGGTGTGAAGGGATAGCATAGACAGGGTGATAAATGCAGGTTATTTTTGACAATCAAGAAGCAGCTGGAGTAAATGTGCTGCATCTTCTCCAGCAGGTGAGTGCTGGTGGTCTGCACATGATGCATTCCAGTGCCAGCTGCCCGTCCCTGCTCCCTCAGCAGCATCTCCTCATTTGTTCTCTCAGCAATTACTGAAATTACTGACTCAATTACTGACCTTTCACGAAATCCAGGAGGTGACAAACTTCCCCGCCGAGGGTCACCACGGGCGTGTTGGGAGCAGGCTGTCCCTCGTAGGCTTCATCCTCCAGCCTCTTCCACTTCACCTTCAGCACAAACTGCAAATACTTGAAGCTGAAAAAGGTCGGGCCCCAGTTTTCGTAGCTGAACTTTGGATTTCTGTTCATTCTGCTCTTTTCGCCCATCTTCAGGATGTATCTCTTCATGGCGTTGGGGAACAGTATCATCAGTGTTTTGCCCACAACAACAGACAGGGTAACCTGCAGAAGGATCAGGATTTTCTGTAGCAGAACCCTGATGCCCGACATGGTGGTGGAGAGGTCTGGCCGCTCGCGATGGGAGCACAATGCGAGGCAGGGGCAAAGGTAGAGGGTGAAGGGGAGGGAAAACATTCACGTGTTTAATTGAGTTTCTGCCTTGCCTTGCACGCTGTCCTGTCCCTGCACTTCAGCCCCTGGGTGAGCAAGGGTCCTGTCAGCAGCGCTCCCCCAGCTGCACCAAGGGCAGCCAGGGTGGGGGTGTGGTGCTCACTGCAGAGCTGTGGGCTTTATCCACAGATGTGGTCTGTGCTTTAGAAATGAGGGCAGCTGCATCAGGGTGTTCTCCCTGAACCCCAGAGTAACAACTAAGGTGCTGATGCTTGAGGCCTTGGGGTGATGCAGATGCTGTGCAAACAGTGCCCTGTTCTTTCTGCACTGGGGCTCTCGTGCACTCCAGGGTTTGGCATTTTGGGGCTGAAGGATTAAAATAAAAAAAAAAATAAATCTATATATATACTCCAGTATATGTAATACCCAGCTGGTCCCCAGCATAGGAAGGACATGGATCTGCTGGAGTGACAGAGATCAGAGGGATGCTGTGAGAACGGGCTGGGAGAGCTGGGATTGTTCAGCCTGGAGAAGGCTTTGTGGTGACCTAGCTGTGGCCTTCCAGCACCTGAAGGGAGACAGGACAGATGGAGAGAGGCTGTGGACAAGGGCCGGCAGTGACGGGACAAGGGGGAACAGCTGCAAACCAACAGAGGGCAGGTTTAGAGTAGGTATGAAGAAGAAATTCTCTCCTGTGAGGGAGGTGAGGCCCTGGCACAGGGTGTTCAGAGAAGCTGCGGCTGCCCCCGGATCCCTGGAAGTGTCCAAGGCCAGGCTGGACGGGGCTGGGACCAACCCGTTCTGTGGGAGGTGTCCCTGCCACGGCAAGGAGCTGAAATGAGATGAGCTTTAATGTCCTTCCAGCGCCCAACCCTCTGTGTTTCTCTGGTAAAACTTTCAGTTACCAAAACAGGCACTGTACGTCCATAGCAGATGTACAAGCGCATGATCACCCACAGCCCCTCACAGACGGCAGCGACCGCCACGCCTGGGCTGCCGCCGGCCCTTTAAGGGGGCGGGCGGACGCGCACGCGGAAGCGCCGCGCGGGCTCTGATTGGTCGGTGCCAGGCGCGTCACAGACGGGGCTGTTGCTCTCCGAGGGGAGGGGGCAGAGGGGTCCGGCGGCGCCGCTGATTGGCTGCAGCCGCGCGGCGGTGGCGGCGCCTTTAAGGGAGCGGAGCGGCGGCTGCGGGCCCGTGGCGGTGCCGAGGTGCGGGGTGCCCGGCCCGGGGCCCGGGCGGGCCGCGGGGGCTCGGGGGGCGCGGCCGCGGGGCACAGCAGCGCTGGCACACGGCGGGCACCGCACCCGCCCCAGCGCTGCCCCTGTCCTCTTGCAGGAGGGTCGAGCCCCGGGGAGCTGATCCTCGTCCAGGCGGATGAATGGCGACGGCGGACGACCTCAAATTCCAGGGTAAAGGCGGTGCCGGAGGTGCGGGCGCGGGGCCGGGCCCCGGCTGCGGGAGCCGTCAGGCGCTCAGGCTCTGGGAGCGTTTCTGAGCGTTCGCGGAGTAAAAACGTCCTGGGAGTTTTGTTTCTGGGGTCAGGTATCCTGAATTTTCTGAGATGGAATTGTGCTGCTGGCGAGATAAAAAAATGTAACCGGTGTTGACGGAAATCGTGGACAGAAATCATTTGCGGTAGCAAGTGACAGCTGGAAAGGGGCAGAGCGCTGTGTAAGTTGCAACAGGCCCCGGTTTCAGACTTCCTTGGTTCTTCATTAAAAAGTTTATGTCAATTTTTTAAAGAACATTAAAAGTACCCATTTCTCCTGGCAGGGACCTGCCGGCCCTGGGGTCGGGGCTGTTGGCAGGGCAGGAAGGCAGGCTCCAGCGGTGCCAGTGTCACATCCTGCAGGCTGATCGGCAGGAAAAGCAGACTCACACTTTATCGGCTGACTGAGTGTTCAGCTTGATCCGTGTCAGTTTGGACTTTAGGAAACAGATCACACCCAACATGCCTAAGCTAGTGGTTATTCTGTCTCAGGGTTTTTATGTGTTTATTTGAGCCACGAGAACAAAAATTTTAGTGTCTTGATCATTGCCTGACTTTTAATGTACTTATTTGCAGAATTTGATGATGCAGCTAATTTGCTTGCAGCAAATCCTGATGCCACCACCATAAGCATCGATGAGCCAGTCGAAATCCCCAAGAATCAGCACAGCCACCTGCCGGAGCCAGGGAGGGAAGAAGATGATGAGTTACTGGGCACTGATGACTCTGATAAAACAGAGGTAATGCTCTCACTCTTATGGTGGAGGCATGTGAGAAAGAGGGAGAAGGACATCTTACAAGAGCATGTAGAGAACAGAACAAGGGGGAATGGATCCAGACTAAAAGAGAAGAGGTTTAGATTGGTTATAGAAAGAAATTCTCTCTTGTGAGGGTGGTGAGGTGCTGGCACAGGGTGTCCAGAGAAGCTGTGGCTGCGCCTGGAAGTGTTCAAGGCCAGGCTTGGAGCACATGGGATAGTGGAAAGTGTTCCTGCCTATGGCAGGGGGGTGGAGTGAGATGATCTTTAAGGTCCCTTCAATCACAGGCCATTCTGTGGTTCTGACAGCAGAAGAAACTTGTCATGGTGGTGAGGGTGTGTGTTCCAGATGATGTGGCAGCAGGTAGTAGCAGGCTGCTCTTTACAGCCTCAGGCCGTGGTGCTGCCTGCAGGGAGATAAGAGACTGGCTGTCAACAGCTGTTGGAGGGGAGGAGGGAAACCATTACATAATCCTACCTGTTACGGTTGTTTTCAGTTTGGGTACCAAAATCATGTGACTACTGTGTAAATGAGCTAGTAATGCATAAATTGTGTGCTTGTAACACTTTCCATGTCGCCTTTCCCACTATCCAGCTGCTTGCAGGACAGAAGAAAAGTGCCCCTTTCTGGACTTTTGACTACTACCAGACCTTCTTCGATGTGGATACATACCAGGTTAATACTCTGCTCCAGAGGAGAGCTGTTGTCTGAATTATGCCTTATCCACTGAGGTTTTTTTCCTTCTTGCACTGCCAGTCAGACAGATCCTCATGTTTCACAGGTCCTGGACAGAATCAAAGGGTCAGTGTTCCCAGTGCCTGGGAAGAACTTTGTAAGGCTGTACATCCGCAGCAATCCCGACCTTTATGGTAGGTGTGAGGTGGGAGGAGTTACATGCTGTGCTAAATATTTTGAGTCTGTATTACATTTGACTTGCTGGCCTAGGAAGCAAGACAGCAGAGGAGATGCTATTGATTTTGTTTCCTTTTAAGGTCCATTTTGGATATGTGCTACACTCGTGTTCACCATTGCTGTTAGTGGCAATCTCTCAAATTTCTTCATCCATCTGGGCAAACCAACGTACCACTATGTGCCTGAGTTTAGAAAAGGTTTGTAAGTAGTCATTTGTGGGAGTTTTTTGGTTGGTTTTTTTGGTCTTTTTTTTTTTAATGTGCAAATGAAGTAATATAAAACCAGGTCATGGCTTTGATTTAGCACAAGTCTTTTGATTGATTGCTGTTTTTAAATTTTTAGACATGTGAAATAAGCCCTTAAAATGGGCTGTGACTGGCAGAACCCTGTTTCTTCAAAGCATAAACTAATTTCAGGGTTTTAGAAGAGCAAGCAGGAGTAATTAGTTATTTTCTAGTCTTAGTGGATATCTCCTTGTGCAGAGAGTGAAAGCCCAGCACTGGCCTCTGTGGTGCTTTGGTGGGGGCCTTCCTGGATCTGTGGCCTCCCAGGAACCTGCAGGCCTCAGGCAGAAAATTACCAGATCGGATTATCACTGACACCACCTTCTTGAAGTGCTGGCAGAGTACTGGGTGTAAACTAGATATAAATGCAAAGTTCTCAGTTTATTAATAATTCAACCTTCATCTTTTGGAAGTATCTTCACAGGTAGCTTTCTAATTTTCATGCTGAATGCTTCTACACCTTTGATTCTGGCAGGATTCAAAGTAGAACATGAAACCCTTTGTTGTGTTTCCAGTGTCCATAGCAGCTACAACGATTTATGCATACGCTTGGCTTGTTCCCCTTGCTCTCTGGGGATTCCTGATGTGGAGGAATAGTAAAGTCATGAACATAGTGTCCTACTCATTCCTGGAGATAGTGTGTGTGTATGGCTACTCCCTCTTCATCTACATTCCCACAGCGGTACGTATGGCTAAAGAGTGCCCCTCTCACATGTCGTGCCTGAGAAGATTTGCTGTTTCTTATAATATTGTTGATATTTGTTGAAATTTTGGAGACTGGGAGAATCTTTTGCTCTTTTTCTTGAGGCTTGTCTAGTATAAAGGTGTCTTTTGGGTGCTGGAAAAGCCCAGGACGCATCATTTCCCCAGAGGCAGCAAAACCAAGCAAGGTGCTGCTGGTGAGCCTGGCAGGCAGCCCAAGGCTGCCTCAGGGAACAGATAGCTGTGCAGGACTGCAGCGTTGATGGCTCCAAGGACAATTTCCTTGGCTGGGGACAGGCCTTGGAGGGAGTGGCCTAACTTGGGATTCACCCTTGTGCCTGAGAGTAAAGCTCATCACCGCTCTTACTCTTTCCCCCAACAAGAGACGCGTCAGATTTAGGCGCGACTTCATTTGCGCGCAAATGGAAGCGATGCCGTGCCACAGAACACGCAGCCTTTTGCAAGCCAAGCCTTTTCCTGCCTTTCCCAGATCTTGTGGATCATCCCACAGAAGGTGGTGCGCTGGGTGCTGGTGGTGTTCTCGCTGTGCCTCTCGGGCTCCGTGCTGGTGATGACCTTCTGGCCCGCGGTCCGTGACGACAGCCGCCGCATCGCGGTGGCCACCGTGGCCACCATCCTGCTGCTGCACGCCCTGCTGGCTGTTGGATGTTTGGTGGGACACTGCCATTCCTTTTCCCTCATCTCTTATTGCCTAGGATAGGTGGGATGTTATGGGACAGGGAAGGAAGGATTGGCTGGTCAGAGGAAAACCTTCAACGTAAAAATCGCAGT